GATTACTTCCTTTAGAAAGTTTTTGTTCTTTTTGTCAATACATCAAGATCCTCCGTGAGCTGTATTACGGATTCACTACCAGGATCTCACCATTCTACAAAGAATTAATCATTGATGTCAAGAGAGGGGTTCAGCAGGGTGATACCATTTCACCGAAACTCTTCAGTGCCACCCTCGAGAACATCATGCAATGACTAGAATGGGAAGGAATGGGAGTGAAGATAGATGGTCGGCAATTACACCACCTCCGCTTTGCTGATGACATTGTTTTAATAACACCAAACATCAGCCAAGCGGCACAAATGCTGGCCGACTTTGACCGTGAGTGTGGAAAGGTAGGACTACAGCTGAATCTTACGAAGACAATGTTTATGAGAAACAGCCTCGTTCCTGATGCCCCATTCGCTCTCAACGGAACGACCATCTCCGAATGCAACAGCTATGTGTACCTAGGTCGAGAGGTCAACATGACAAATGACCTGGCACCCGAGCTGCGCAGGAGGAAGAGAGCGGCTTGGAACGCCTTCAAGAGCATGAAAGAAATGCTAAGAGGATAACAAAGAACCTCCGCCTCCAGGCACATCTCTTTGATTCCACTGTTCTTCCTGCATTAACATATGCCTCAGAGACAGAGAAAGGGCCCTACATAAACAGGATGAGAATGCTATTCGGGTCTCCCAAAGAGGAATTGAAAGAGCTATGCTTGGAATATCATGTTTCACTCAAATGAGAGAAAGAATCCGGAGTTCCGACATCCCTTGATGGACGCTGTCTCGTTTGCCAAGGTGTCAAAAATCAGATGGGCTGGTCACGTAATGAGATTTAAAGAGGACTGCTGGACTAGAGCTGTTACCGACTGGAGTCCACGGAATGTCAAAAGACCACGTGGCCGCCCACCTACCAGATGGTCAGACTTTTTCATCAAGATCATGAACGATCGGTTTGAGGCTCTTCGTGTTCCTAGAGCGAACAGACGTCATTGGGCTACAATAGCACGTGACAGGGACAAATGGAGACGTTACTGGTGCCCACTCGAGTAAATCGACTATTAACGGGAAGTCAAGTGATCAAGTGATTTGTCGCCCTATTTTTTGATGGGGTTTGATGTTTTCTTCTTGTGGAGTTCAGCCAGTACTTTATATATCCTTGATATCAACCCCTTGTCGGATGTGTATTCGGCGAATATCCTTTCCCATTCTGTAGACTGTCTTTGTATTTTGGTGACCCAAAAGTTTCAACGGTAGAAGTACAACTGAAGGGCACACTGAGAGCCATATCTACTTTGGTTTGTCCCATGAATCCCATAAATAATTTAGTCTGGGGGCAGAGTGATAGCACAGTGGTAGGACGCTTGCCTTCCACGCGACCAAACTGGATTCGATGCCTGGCACTCATGGAGTCCCCTACATCAGAACTGATCCTTGATCCCCCAGCGCTGCTGGGTGTGACCTAAAGACAAAACAAGCAGTTGACCTGGGTTCGATTCCCAGCATCCCATATGGTCCCCCGAACACCACCAGGAGTAATTCCTGAGTGCAAAGCCAGGAGTAACCCCTGTGCATTGCTGGGTTTGACTCAAAAAAGGGAAAAAAAGAAAAGATTAAAAAAAACAAGAAAAAAATAACTTAGTCTAAACCCTTAAATGCAGTGCTACTTTTGCCGCAGCCTGGATGAGAGTACCCAGAGGTTCTGAGAGGGGACGGTTTGAGCAAGGTGGCCCAGCAGGAGGTCAGCCATGCCACTGTGGGGTGAGGTGATGGAGAGTTCCCCGGGTGACTGCATGTCACTGAGGGTGTGCATCTCCCCAGGTCGAGAATTAACTTTCACCCTGTCCCAGGCCCGGGCCCTCTGCTCACATATTACATTCAGGTGCTGATGGAAGCAACAGGGCTCGGAGACACTAAGTGGGTGCCCCGACTCTAGTCTCTGGCCGCTGTTCCGGGTGAGGAATGGCAGACAGGAGGAGGGCGGACCCAGAGAGCAGGAGATTTCAGGTCTACACCTGGGTCCCCCTGTTCCCAGTTCTGGGATCTTGGACAAGCCCTGTATATGCCTAAGCTCCAAATTCCTGCCAGTAAAAAGTGGGGTTTGGTGGGGGGGGGGGGATGCAGGGCTCCCCTATCATAGGAAGGATGTGATGGACGAAAAGAAAGGGGGCACCTTAGGAACAGTGGGCAAGAAGCGGCATATCCTAGAGTGAGTCCTGTCCATCAGTTACTTTTCTGGGCTCCTCCCGCAGTCTCTGCTCCTGGCCTCGTCCTCCGGTCAGAGGTTCTCGCCAGGATCCAGTGCTCCTCCCGCTCTGGCTTGCCGCGTGGGAAAGGGAGGGCTTGTGAGAAGCTGAGCGCATGCCAGGCACGTCACCCTGCATCCTGCAGAAGTGCACCAGCCCCTTTCTCTGCAGAACTGGCCACTTCCCTCCAAGGGGTGTGTCGGGAAGCCTGTGAATAACGTGCCCCAGGTAACAAAGCCCCAGCCTGCCTGGGCGCCTATAAGAAGGAGCTGGCCTCCCGGCCCAGCAGATGACGTGCTCACTCTCACCGCCGGCCGTGCACAAGCGCCCCGGAGTCAGCACAAGGTAAGAGCCTGATTCTCTGAGAAGGTCCAGCACTAGGTCCCCCTGGCCCTCGGGTCTGCACCCCGTCGGGGCCCCGTGGGACCCAAATCCCGACACAGCATCGCCAAGGAGCCGCAAACCCGTCCCTGTCTCCCTCTCATGCATTCCTTCAGGGAACTGTGTGCCAGGCTGGGAACTTGCCTGGGCCCGCCTGCCTACCTCGGCGCCCAAATCCTGTTCTCTTTCCAGTGGAGCATTGATAAGACAGTCATTTCCTCGTTAGGAACAAAGTCAAGTCAAATCCCAAGCTGTACCCCCTTGTTTTTGGACTTCTTGCCAGTCTTTTCTGGAAGGTGGAAGCAAGTGGGGAGGAGAGAGATCAGTGTGGGTCACCGCAGAACTGGAGGCAGAAGTTCTGGCTCTTTTCCTGTAGAGCTGGGTCCTTTATCCAATAGAATATCTTGAGCAATTTGCTTACATGTCTGTGTCTTAGCAGAGATAGCTGATACCTATGGTAACTTATTATTACTCCCCTCTTAATCCTCATGACAGGGTTAACTAGATGACAAGCACCTGGTGCTCAAGGACCATAGTACGTGCCAGGCAGAAGCAGAGGTTCTCTTCTCGCGATGTGGCTTATGATGCTTACCTCATAATGTCTGTTTAGGTCATGCTATTATTCAATGACATTTGAATAATATTATTCTATTACTATTGTCATCATGATGTTGTTTGAGGGCAATCAACATCATCAATATTTGATTGATGTTGTTTGACAATGCTCAAGGTTTACTCCTAACTAAGTGCTCAAGATTCCCTCCAGGTGGAGCTTGGGAGTCCATATGGTGCTGAGGATTACACCTGGGCCTCCTGAACCCCAAACCGTGTCCCCATAGCAGAACCAAAATAATTTGTTTTGTGTTGCTTTTTATAAATAATCCGCTAAAAATGATCCAAAAAAGGTTTCTTAGAGGAACATTTGTGAAGATTGTTGTATTTCACCTAGGAGCCATTAAGCCCTTCTATAACAGATTAGTAACATGTTGTTAAAGGCTGAGCCTTGTGTGCATATATGTGCGTGTGTGTGTGTATATATATGTATATGTATCTTCATAAATACATTTTCCTCTAAGATTGGTCGCCTTATACTTTAAACCCCATCAAATGTGGTGTGATACTCTGGTAGCACACAATCCTTTGAATCATCTCCTGAACCCTCAATTATTTAATTTTAAAAGCATCAATTCTAAGGGCTGGAGCGAAGCACAGTGGGTAGGGTGTTTGCCTTGCATACAGTCGACCTGGGTTCAATCCCCAGCATCCCATATGGTCTCCTGAGTACCGCCAGGAGTAATTCCTGAATGCAGAGCCAGGAGTGTGATCTAAGACCAATAAATAAAAAAATAAATAAACAAAATCATTGCTTCTAGACATTCACAATAGATCAGCACTGTGCCAAATAGGTCTCTAGAACTCAGTTAGACATGCCCTACCCAATGCTCTGTTTAAAATTCATCCGATCCACCCTGGTTCACTTTGCTCAGACAAGGTGGGTGGTCATCCTTGCACCCATGTCCATCTCATAGACATGCCCAGTTTAGAGTGCCTCTCCACTGGCAAACATCAGATCAATATCACCCTCCTGGGTCCTTACCATGTCTTTTCTCTTGCTGGGGCCATCTGCAGGCTAGTGAGTTACAAACCCATCACATTGGAGCTGGGAGAGTTGGGCCATTCATGTCCCCAACACGACAATTCCAGATAAAAGAACTGAGACCCAAGATAGAATAGTCACTTGTCCACGATCTGGTTGAGAACAGAACTGGGGCAGAGAGCCAGAGAACTAGTATGGGGAGTGAAGCACTTACCTTGCACACACCTGATCTGGCTGGATTCATTTCTTGGCACCACACTTTGTCTCTTGAGTCCTGCCAGGAGAGATCCCTGAGAACAGAACCAGAAGTCAGCCCTAAGAACAGTGACTCAAAAACAAACCAAAAAGAACTGGGATGGAATCTTGGTCGATGCAATTTAAATTCAGCTAAAGTTCCCGAAGGTCTTTGAGTATGACCTGCACGTACTCAACCCAACACTTCACTGAGTCAGTACGTGACTGACCCTGGGTGCTCCATAAATGCTGAATGACTAAATGAGGAAGTGAGGAGGGAGCAAATGCAGGAGTGAATGAGAGCGAGGGAGATGGGAGCTGATGAGATGCAGAGAGGGTGAAGGGCTGAGGGAGGAGCAGGAGGAAGACCCAAGTCCCACAGAAAGGTAATGAGAAGGACTGCTTGTCTAGGAATGACAGACCCCGCGAGACTTCGGAGTGTCTCTCCTGAGCGGGCAGCCATGTATGAGTGGCCAGCAGTCCTGTCCTGGAGCATTGCTGTCTGCCTCTGACTCACCTGCCTCTTGTCAAACAGGTTCACACCCTGCTGTGACCATGAGGCTCCGGCTCCTCGCCCTGCTCTCTATCCTCCTCCTGGCCCTCCAGGTAATCTTAGGGAAAGGCGTAAAGGAAACCAGGACCAGCCACATCAGCAAAGCCAAGACAGAGGAAATGAAAACTCCCAACAAGACTCAGGTGGCACATGGAAGTCAGTCACAAAAACGCCTCCCCAAAGGCCAGTTTGTCAGCCCCAACAGGGCAGTTTGTAGGTGGGCGGTGACTGAGCAGGAGAAGGGCATTGCCTTGAAGGTTGCGTGTGCCCAAGAGTTCACCAGGTTCTCCTGTGTCTTCACCGGCAATCCCAATGCCTGCCTGGAGCTGAACCATAGAAAGACATACTGGAAACAAATCCGACGAAACCTGCGCTCTCAGAAGGCCATCTGTGAGGATGATCAGAGTGCACTCGAAGCCCAGGTGTGCAGAAAGAACTTTCCAGCATCCAGCCTAAAGCTAGTGAACTCCACCCTGATTAGGAACAAGCCATCCAGACAGGAGCACAGAGCATCGTCTCCCAGGAAACAGACAACAGCCACCTAGGTTACCACCATGGAACCCAACCAGGCAAAACTATTTCCCACCACGGAGCTGACCAAGGTCAATGAGAGCACACCCTCGAAAGCAGCCGAGACACAGCCTGGGGCCACCAAAGACCCCCAGTGTATGGAGGACCCAGATTTGGTCACCCAGAGAAAGGTGGCCTTAGAGTACTGTGGGGAAGCCTGGAGCTCACTCTGCCACTTCTTCATTGCCATGTTCCAGGGCAGCTCATGCTAGCGAGGCGGAAGCACAGAGAAAGGGTCCTTAGGAGGTAAGAGGTCAAGCACGCTGTTTGCAGTTCAAGTCTCCACATTCCTGAGATGAACATTTGTGCTGTGGGGGTGCAGCAGACTATGGAAGTGTTTTGCAGTTTTTATGTTGTGTTTTGGAATTTATTTTCTATTCATTTCCTTAGACATGATTTTCTAGGTTGTTTTCCTCAACTGATTTTTCCAAGGCCCAAAAGTTGTGTTTATTGAAGTTGTTTCAAAATTCCCACCCAAGCACATGAAAGCACTGAGCTGCAAAAGCCAGAGTGATGGTTTTAGAAAGCTGCAATTGCTACAGAATTGACAAGGATAATAAAGTTCTTGGGTTTTTTCAGAAATTCTCTGTTGTTGAGTTTCTTTATGCCTAATTTCAACACACTCATAACCTGGGGCCCAGTTTATGACTAGGACAAGTGAAAAGGGATTTTCTGTTGGGTGGAAAAGAAGTCCCCCCCAACGTCATTCCACCCATTCCAGAATTTCCTCCTTCTTTTATCCATTGGTCTGGATATTCGATGTTCACTGAACTGAATCATTAGGATCCCTGGTTTCAAGTGGGACACAGGTGTGCTGTGATAAGACATAGGACAGGGTATCACAGAGGGAAGAGGGGAGGCAGCATCTGAATCAGATGGACAGGCTGAAGGACCGTCCTCTGCTGAGCACTCACTGAATGCCCCTGACCACCTGTGCAGGACTCTGGCCTGAAGGCTCAAGTGTCCTGAACGTAGACTCAGAGAAAAGTGGGAAAGGAAATATGGAAAAGTGCAGAGAGAAAGTAGAAAGCTCTGGAGAATGTCAAGTTGAACTTCCTAATAGCGTGACCACTAGAACTTGATTTTGAAAAAAATGTTCTAAAGGTTAACCAGTTTAACAGCGTTTAGGGCTGGAGGGATAGCACAGCGGGTAGGGAGTTTGCCTTGCATGCAGCCAACCTGGCCGACCCGGGTTCGATTCCTCCACCCCTCTCAGAGAGCCCGGCAAGCTGCCGAGAACATCTCGTCCGCATGGCAAATTCGATATGCCAAACACATTATCAACAAGTCTCACAATGGAGACGTTACTGAGCCTGCTCGAGCAAATCAATGAACAATGGAAAGACAGCGCTACAGTCCTCAAGGTAAGAAATGGAAGCAGAATGAAGTCACGTTACACAAAAAACAGCACGTGTGAAAGCAACGAGATGAGACAACCTTGGAAGTCAGGAAAACATCTGTCTGGGGTGTGATGAGGACAAAGTGCTCGGGTTACTGACATGTTAGAGCAAAGCATGTGAAAGTGTCTTAATTCAATTACTAGGGAAAGAGTGTGGTGTGGCCTCAATGCCTTGTCACAATACTACAGAACAAAAGTGAGGATCTGGAGTTGGTAAAATCACTGCAAATTTCTGAGTTTCATTTTCAGCTTAATCAGCTTTGTTCATATAAATTCATACATTTCTAGGTAACTGTTGATTAATTTTTGAGAAAGTCACTGTGAATCTTGAAATTTTGCAGATTGAATCAGAAGTACACTTCTTCAAAAGAGTTCAATTAACATGTTCTCTGATTCATTTGTTACTTCCAAAGAGTTGAAAAGCACTGATCTTTAGAGCATCTTTCCATGTCAGGGAGAAGTGATCAGCGGGTAGAAGGGCAGCGTTTGACACCAACTTACCAGGATACACATCAGGATCTAATTGTAGGTGGACAGATTGACAGTCTCACAGTCTGTCTGGATATTAGCATCAACACCAACACTAGCAGGGGTGTCTCACTTGTTGTGTGCCAAGCATTGTGCTAAGCTTTTCTACGGAGCATGCATGCAAGCATTTATTCTCTCATTCCTTCAGCACAAAACTTACTGAACCTGACTGGAGGGACAGTACAAGGGCTGAGGTACTTACCATTCATGTGGCTGACCCAGGTTGAATGTCCAACACCAATATGGTTCTGTGAGCACTGCCAGAAGTAGTCCCTGAGAACAAAGCCAGGAGTAAACCTTGAGTACTGCCTGAATTAGCCCAACACTCCCCACTCACCCTGCTGCCAAATGCAAAACTTCCAGGGCCTTACCTCTATCAGGTTCTATTCTATGCATTAGCAATACATCGATGCCTAGATAGAGATATTCTGCACCCTTAGGATGAGCAGTGGATGGTGGATGGGGGTGGGGAGAAAAGGGAGGGAGGAAAGTAAGTGAGAGAGAAAATAGTCTTAGAAGAGATAGAGAAGGCTTTGGCGTGGTAACTCTTGAATCAACTACCAGTGAAATTACTCTCTGGAGTTGACTTATTCCAACCTAAAGGAATAGCTAAAATGCTCTGAAATTAATTGGGTTTTGTTGTTGTTGCTATCTAGTGAGCACCACTTCTCTATGACAGATACTATTTTTTTTTAAATTTATTTATTTATTTATTGAATCACCATGGGAAAGGTTACAAAGCTTTCAGGTTTAGGTCTCAGTCATGCAAATATCAAGCACATTTCCCTTTACCAAAACTTATTTTTTACCATGAAGAACCCCAATAAAACCCCACCCCCCACCCCTCCCAGTCCCTGTGGGGCAGATGAATTCTAGTTAACACTCTATCTGCTTTGATTAGATTCATTGTTTCAATAAAAGATTCACCACTATTATTTAGAGTTTACCCCCCCGCCCCCGAATCAGACATGCTGACAAAGCACTGTGAAGTGATTTGCTTTCTACAGCTGGGTTCAAGAATTATTTGTTGGTTTTGGATTTCTGCTATTTTACTTATTGACCCTGGAAGTATTTCTACTGAAAGTCAGATAGTTAAGAAATTGGTTTCTGTGCTCTGGAGTCGTGGCCGTGCTGGAGAGCCGCTCATGGGGGGCAACTGGTGGCCTCGGTAGGGCGTGAAGGGCGGACCGAAACGCCCCCCTTCCCATGAGGTTTTAGTCGCCCCCAGTCCCCCGGCTCATACCTGCTGTCCACAAGGCTCCCATGTGGCCGCCATCTTTCTTTCCAGAGGGAGGAGGGCAGAAGGGACCAACACCCTTTCCCCTCCGGGCAGACATGATGGCCTGGATTATCGCATAGTCCTTTCACTTTTCTGCTCCAAGCTGCTGGGTTCTGCATTAAGTCCTTGTGCTTCTGGGGCTGTGGCCGTGCTGGAGAGCCGCTCGTGGGGGGCAACTGGTGACCTCGTTAGGGCGTGAAGGACGGACCGGAACGCCCCCCTTCCCATGAGGTTTCAGTCGCCCCCACACCCCCGGCTCATACCTGCTGTCCACAAGGCTCCCATGTGGCCGCCATCTTTCTTTCCAGAGAGGAGAAGGCGACTGGGGCAACACCCTTTCCCCTCCGTACAGACCTGATGGCCTGGATTAACGCATAGTCCGTTCACTTTTCTGCTCCAAGCTGCTGGGTTCTGCATTAAGTCCTTGTGCTTCTGGGGCCGTGGCCATGCTGGAGAGCCGCTCATGGGGGGCAACTGGTGACCTCGGTAGGGCGTGAAGGACGGACCGGAACGCCCCCCTTCCCATGAGGTTTTAGTCGCCCCCACACCCCCGGCTCATACCTGCTGTCCACAAGGCTCCCACGTGGCCGCCATCTTTCTTTCCATAGAAGAGAGGGCGAATGGGGCAACACCCTTTCTCCTCCGGGCAGACATGATGGCCTGGATTATCGCATAGTCCTTTCACTTTTCTGCTCCAAGCTGCTGGGTTCTGCATTAAGTCCTTGTGCTTCTGGGGCTGTGGCCGTGCTGGAGAGCCGCTCGTGGAGGGCAACTGGTGACCTCGTTAGGGCGTGAAGGACGGACTGGAACGCCCCCCCTTCCCATGAGGTTTTAGTCGCCCCCACTCCCCCGGCTCATACCTGCTGTCCACAAGGCTCCCATGCAGCCGCCATCCTTCTTTCCAGAGAAGAGAGGGCGAATGGGGCAACACCCTTTCTCCTCCGGCAGACTTGATGGCCTGGATTAACGCATGGTCCGTTCACTTTTCTGCTCCAAGCTTCCGGGTTCTGCATTAAGTCCTTGTGCTTCTGGGGCCGTGGCCGTGCTGGAGAGCCGCTAGTGGGGGGCAACTGGTGACCTCGGTAGGGCGTGAAGGACGGACCGGAACGCCCCCCTTCCCATGAGGTTTTAGTCGCCCCCACACCCCCGGCTCATACCTGCTGTCCACAAGGCTCCCATGTGGCCGCCATCTTTCTTTCCAGAGGGAGGAGGGTGGAAGGGACCAACACCCTTTCCCCTCCGGGCAGACATGATGGCCTGGATTAACGCATAGTCCTTTCACTTTTCTGCTCCAAGCTGCTGGGTTCTGCATTAAGTCCTTGTGCTTCTGGGGCCGTGGCCGTGCTGGAAAGCCGCTCGCGGGGGGCAACTGGTGACCTCGTTAGGGCGTGAAGGATGGACCGGAACGCCCCCCCTTCCCATGAGGTTTTAGTCGCCCCCACACCCCCGGCTCATACCTGCTGTCCACAAGGCTCCCATGTGGCCGCCATCTTTCTTTCCAGAGAGGAGAGGGCGAATGGGGCAACACCCTTTCCCCTCCGGACAGTCATGATGGCCTGGATTAACGCATAGCCCGTTCACTTTTCTGCTCCAAGCTGCTGGATTATGCATTAAGTCTTTGTGTTTCTGAGGCTGTGGCCGTGCTCCAAACTTAACTATGATTTTCAGAGAGAAACGTTGGGTCATTTACTTCCCATGGGTCACTTTGTATATAGAGAGATGTCGCGCGGCCGCTCATGCGGCCGCGCGGTTTTGAGGAAAAGTCCTAGTTCCTGCATACTGGAGCTGTGGTTGTAGAGGCTTCTGGTCACCGGGGTTCCATCTGGGGGAGGCGGGATGCAGTACCTACCCCATCTGGGGCTTCCCGATGATCTCGGCTCTTTTTGGAACCTGTTTTTTTTTTTTCTTCGGGATCTGTGGATCCCGCCCTCCATGTTGTTCTTCTCTTCGGCTGAATTCTGACAGATACTATTTTAAGATCAAAAATTAACACCAAGAAAACAAAC